TCAGGGACTAGCTAAGAATCATATATCATTCCCGCAGTTTTTGTTCTCTATTAAGTAAATGCTAAAAAAGTTATAGGATAAAAAAGCCCCAAAACGGTTATCCTTCCTTCAAAAATCCACCTTCTTGACGCAAAAAATTCTGGTTAACATCTCCTTTCAAATTCCTGATTGCTATAAGCTCAGAGCCGCCTCGTCTCATAAAGGATGAGATTAGGCTGCACAATGAGGAATCACTTCCACCCCTCCTTTGAAACGAAAATTAAAGCATCCCTTAATCTCCTGCAATCACTTTGTACTATCGGCTGACTGTACCCCCGCTTCCCATGTTAAGAGCCTTCTCCAGTCAAACGTGGCAAGAAAAAAAAACATTTTTCACGACGCGTTAAGAATTCGACCATCTGTAAATAAAATGAAGAAAGCGCTCCTTGTAGTTTATGCAAAATTGAAAACAACCTAATCCAAGGCAAACTGAAAATACACATCTCGTGACTTACCCCTGCCACCTCATTGTCCACGTTGGAGGCATTGAGATTGCATTTGCTTTCAAGCACATCGTTGATCGGCGCTGGGTGATGATGCTCTCGGCTTTTGTCGCCCTCATCCTCATACTTCTCGTCCTCATCGTCCTCCTTTCCCTCCTCATTGAGGATGTCAAAACTGCCGTCGAAAACATCGACGTTCACATCATCGTCGGAACAGAGGGATGCGTTACTACCCGTCTCCACGCTCGTTCCACCACTGCTGTCAGTGTTGGTGACCGAACTGGTGGGAGTTCCCAAGATGCTCAACTCGAAGTCATTCTCGCTGTCGTTCTCCTCAGCTTTGCCCTTCGTGTCTATCAAAGCAGCATCCTTGTAATCACATGGTCTGAAAGACGGAATAAACAAAGAAAATGCCAATAGAAATTGGTAATATGTCCTGAAATCCAACGAATAATTTTGGAAAGTGAAAACAATTATTACGCAAACGAACGACTGTGAAAGGTGTAGATTTTAGTTTGGACCACTCAAGGAAACAGCGGTGACAGTTCATTGATTAGAACGCATAGCCGTCAGCTTATTTTTGGGGAGGTCTTGACGAAGCTGTCAGCTACGCATGTCACATTAACCAGACAATCTCAGGGTCAAAATCATCGGTTTTGACACTACAACATCGTGAATTCATGATTTGCAAACCAATGTCATTGATACGAGGTAAGGAGGCGATGCTTACGGGCACGCGATGCATACACATACATGTTTCTCTACCGAAACAACAAAGAGATGAGGAATGGACCACAGGACGGAACGAGGAACGGTGCGACTTTTAGTCTGATCATTCACCGAAATGGCACACCGATTTAAAGGACACCGATTTGTCATTTGCTTAAGAATAATGACAATGCAGTACAAGATGCAGTATTTTTGGTGGAAAGAGCTCACTGTTATGACTTCCTCCGAATTGTAAGGCACACGGGACTGTTTATGTGCACTGTAAAATCAGTGGCACTTTTCATTTTAACAGGACTAAGCCCTTTTTTGCGCTCTCGGTCATCTTCTTGTTACTTTGTACCCTCATAACACGCCACCGATCGGTTTATGAACCCAGGTCAAATGGATTTCAATACTATAGAAGATTCATCGTAAATTTGTTGTAGAGTAATAAAAAAAGATGCTACCAACAAAATAGCCCAAAAATGGGATTCCAACGAGTCATCAATTCCGAAAGAATAGTTTATTTTCTCATCAGTGTCAAAATAAACAGTTCGGGGACTTACGGTCACCCTTAACATAGGTGATGGAGGAGTAAGCAGATTCCATCTACGCCAACGGAGTGTTCGTGGGAACTAATCGAGGGGTTCCACAAACGCACAACAAACATCAACAGATGACAAAAATTTATTGTTTAGTTCCATTTTATATGCACCACGCAAAGTTGGCGTGCACTTTAGATTGTTGCCTCATTTGCCTGAAATGAGAAATGGCTTCTGCATCACAGCATTAGGCGAACAAACAAACCACTGGTTATTGCCAAACCATCCAATCCCCACCTTGTCTGCACCTCTGAGGCTCGCACCACTTCATGCCCAGAATACCAGACCCGCATTGTGCCCGATGGACTGCAGGCGGAAATGTACACCAGGATCTGGTCACTTCCTGGGGGTCAAACACTAACTAGGTCTGAGGTCTGTCTACCTCGCACAAGTTGATACAACTCGAAGCCAGCACCCAGTATCCAGTATTTAGAGGGAAGGAGCCTTTTTGCAAGACAACGCAGCACCTCTAACGGCCTACCACCAACCCAAAGTGACGATATGACAAGATACGACATTTCCGTTTTATTTGTGTGTTGCAGTTCAAAGATATCAGTGCACCCCTACGACATCAGTGTAGAGGTTCCATAAACACAGGCACTGTTGGAGACGGGGACTCAAAAATACACTAACCTCCAGTTCTCCATTGTAATCAGCAATAGCAGAACATCATGAAGAGGTCAAGGAGCCAAAAGCACTTATAAAACTGCCTATATCACTAATGTAAACATGAGGAATTGACGTATCCACGTGTCGCAAGAAGTTAAAAGAGGGTGAAGACCCACCCGACCATATTCAATGATGGTTGCATGTCCATACTGGTAGATGTCCCCTCGCGCTGCACCGCGGGCACTGAGCGCAGCGGCGCTGTAATACGTGTGAGGTCGAGCCGAGCAGCAGCGGCAATGACGCGATTACTTTGGCGTTGCGAGCCCTGCAGCGGCGTAGATGCCCTTGGCTCCAATGGTAACGACGGAGGCGGCGCACCTTTACTGTGTCGCTCTTGATGATGGTGGCGAGCAAACCGTTGCCACCGAGAGCGGCGGCGGCGGCGTGGGGGAGAAACGTCAGCGGTGACAGTAGCAACGGGCGGTGGGAAGCGATGCTCGCGAAGACCCCGCGGACCCAACAGTAGTGCGAGGTGACAGAGTGCCTCGCGACCCCTGTCGGAGAGGTCGTTTATCCGCTCGATGGAGATACGACAGAGAAGGCACAACACCCGCCACCGATTGCACGCTGTCAACTGGCACTCCTCTACTACGTGCTTTTCATAGATTGAGAAAAGGAAGATTATTAGTTACTTTTTAATAGGAACTGGAGTCTACTCCTGAAACGAGGAGTAAAAGTTTTGTAACATTTTGAGTGAACTAACGACTTTGCATTTTATCTTCCAAAGCAGGCAACTCATTAGTCGCTCGACTATTATTATTTTCATTGTTTATGAACTGCCTGATGAATTCGTAAACAAGATGCAAAGCACTTAGAGTTAAGTGAATGTAACTTTTATTTACACAAAGGTGGTTTTGTCATAAACAGATTTTATTGCTCGCTATTACAGGGAATATTGTTACATACATTGCGTCTATTTTGTCTGTATCTAACTACGCTGTGTGTGCCTCAACCCACCTAAGCGCCTTACACAACGCTACAAACAGAGGGGCTCCTGTGGATGCATCACACCACCCTTTGAGTTTATTTTTAAATGAGGCGACCGATTGGTGCGTACGGAAAGATAAACGGGCAGTTAGGCTTTGTAATGTAGGTGAAGCGAATGAAGAAGACGCCAGGCTCAGAGCCACGCAAGATACAGAGCCCACGTAAACAACCAAACAGAGAGCTCACACAGGGTAGTCTTTCACAGGGAAACAAAATAACCTGCGTTTGAAAGGCCAATAACTGGTAAATTGACAAATACTGTGAGGCTAGGAGGTGGTATCATTAAATCCGATTGCCTCTACCTTGAGATGCCAACTAGCAGAACGCCAAGGTTGATCATCTCGTCAGAGGGAAGCCGTCACATGACATACCCAGGCACGACAATTCAACACGCCTGAGGTGCAGATAAAAAGTCACTCATAGGGATTGAATCTCACAATCACTGCTTCTTTAGATTCCTCTTTGCCTACAGCGACAAACTCAGGACACAGTTAAATATTCAGTTCCCCATGAAGATGGGAGGGAACGCCGACAGTTCTCTACACGCAAAACAGGAATTAATTATGCATGACAAAAATGATTTCGCAACACTATGAAAAATACCAGGCAGACAAAAGAAATTGAAAAGAAATGCTAGTAACCAAAATAACTCCACGAGATGGTAATTGAGATAAAAAGCCCGTCTAACAAGGAGGTGGAAAACTTTGGAGACCCTTGTTGGAACAGCTACGCAACCGAGGCATTCACATACACCTTATTCGCTTGACAAGCCCTTGGTGATGCAGGGACTATAAGCGAAGTGAAAAGATGCCATTAGCACATTCAGGGTATTATTTTCACCGAAGGCTGCGTGCCATCGTCGAGGAGGAATGGGAACCTAATTACCGACCAAACCAACAAGGATAGTATAGGTAATGTAAACACGGAGCACAAACATGACCTGCGTGGAATTTTGAAGGCGTTCTTCAATAACAATAGTCGTTTGCCTGGGAGCATAGTAGCTGGTGTCCATAGTTTTAACCTCTAAATGATCCAAATGGCTGAATTGGTAGCTTCCACGGTCTGGCTTTGCCCCAGAGCCTCGTGTCTACTACTAAAGACTATCTTTCGGTCGCACAGGAGGTGGCTCCTGATTATTTCACCTGCTACCTGTCTACTAGTCCTTATCAGCCCCACGCCTTGTAACTTCTCCGGTAGGGGCCACTTTAATGGCAGAATTGGAAATAAGCAGACTTTTATTTACCTCCAGAATCAATTCTAGACAATGAGACAAACCAAAACAGTGAACCCAAATGACTAAAGTTCCGTTGAACCGTTCAAATTACCTTCGACATGAAATAATTAAAAAGTGCTACTTACTGCAGTAGAATCCCTGTTGGGGAAAAGATGAAGAAAGCTCTCCACTATCTCCGTTTCCTGATCCTCCTTTGTTTTCGTCATGTCCAACGGTCCACAGAACACCGATCCAGAGGCAAACGGTGGCAATGCGGAGAAGAGGTTTGCCCCACGTCGTGGCACTACAAGTTGACGCACGTAGGTGTTGTAGAGACCCACCAGCAGCGCCTCCAAAACTGCCGCCAAACTGGCCATGTGCGTCCCAATTGCGGAAGCCTTCTGTGAGGTGGGTAACGATGTCGGAGTCGATGTGGTAGTGTTGCATGATCTTGCCGTGGTGGCGGTAACGGAGGAGGAGGAGTGGGTAGAGGAATCAGCGGGAGCAGCAGTAGCGCCGACGTTTGACGTATTGGCTGGATCAGAAGTAAATCCGGCGAGAATACGACGAGTGCGCTGGCGGACGGTGCGGTTAAAACTGGGACGGCGAAGAGCATCGACAGAGACGACGGAGGACTTCTTAAGACGATGGCGTAGTGACTTGCGACCTCGGGGCAACGCTACCTCTGGACTGGTGGTAGCGGCCGCAGCAGAAGTTCTGGCGGTGACTCCAGTGGGAAAGGAGTATTTTGCGTGGCAATGCGACACTGAAACTCGCTGGTTGATCGAGAAGCTGCCAAAACTACTCGAGAAAGTGGCTGGTGAGAAAAGAAAAAAAGTAATCATTTCATCACATCCTGCTCCTCAATGGTCTGATGTTCGTATACACACCCTTCTTCTAGAAGTGAATGCCATCAAGTGATGAAAATATAAAGAGGAAACGTCCAATCAACGTCTTTGTCAAGTATGTATCATGAGGCAGGAGGGAGATCAAATGACAATCAAGTAGCAGTCCAATTTAGACAAATTGGAGAGCCACTTCAAAATCGGGTAAGTATAAAAGGCGAGCGTTATTTGTTAACCACACCACAAAAACTTTTCATAAATGAGAGTCAAACGATGAATGGGTCTTCAAGAAGAAAAAAGTGTCGAAAGTTTGGAATAACTTGAACGTAAGCGAATTTGTTGTCTTAAAAAATAAAATTTGACATTTATTGCCTTTTCCTAAAAACACACTCTTAAATGCAGTAGTTTAACGTAATTGTGATTTAATTCTTCACAAAATTGGGAACTTAGTTGGAGAGAGCAGCCTTCACTCCGCTACTCGCCATGACTTGAAAGTAACCGGCCAATCACAAAGTTGTAGGTGTGGAAGGTTGGAAGGGTGGGGGAGGCGAAGGCGGCGTTTAAAAGAGAAGGGTGGGGAGATAGCAAAAGTTCGAAAAGCAATGAAACTATAGTAAAACAAATAGACACTCCACTTAAATGGCTTGAGATTCATTTCAAAGAGAGGAAATTCTAAAAGTTGTGAAAATTGTATGTGTGTGTACGTATGAGTGCCTATTTTTGCATAAAACGAAGGAGTAGCGATTTGTGCCACCTAAGTACACCAAGCAGCTAGTTCTGTTTACCTAGCGACTTGTTTGCTTCGCAACAGCTTGGTGGCAATAAGGGCCGCGCCAGAGTGGATTTGCCTGGAAAACAAAATTGGTATGCGGATAGGGCGCTCTTCCAGAGGGACTTGCAAAGAAAAGTTGGACATAACGAGATCGCCGTGGTGAATATAAATTGCCCCAGAAGTCCGCTCAACCACCGCCATGCCGACGGAGAACGAGATGCATCTAAAGATCCAAACTTTGTTTCACTGCACACCTAGATATGCACGGACTGTCCAGTCTGCGCCCATCAGGACGCGGATAATAATTTCACCAGTGCTAATGAATGAATCATGAGGACGGAGAGGTGGCAGATGATTGGGTTTGGGGACAGCTGAATTTAAGCGGTGACTCCGCCTCCGCCGTGCTTGTGAAGCGGGTGTCTACGCAACTGCGAGGGAAAGGGAACCTAACGCAACTTGGCTAAAAAAAACTCCAATTTTCCCATAATCAATGTTTTTTTTGTAAAAAAACAAAGTTTTAAACCATTTTGGGCTTCGCTCCCGCAAAACAGTGCTATAAATGTAACAGCCTTTCTCAATTATCCTCAAGCGACAAGGTAAAAAGATTTTGAGGTGGGAAAATGCTGATTCCGTTTTCCTCGGGAGTTTGTACAATCCTAGTAATCATTTTGTGGCAAAAAGGACGTTTCTCCTCAGCAAAACCAAGCAATTCTCTCAACCTGCCGTAGTTCTGCAGACCAAGAGTCTATTCCAGTTAACCTAACACTTAACAAAGGAAACGAGTGTGGATTTCAAAGTGGGAAAAGAAAGTGGATCAAATCGTCAAGGCTAATGACACAGTAAAAGGAAAACGTTACTTCAAGCCATAAATAAGCATAAACTCACTCATTGCTTGAGCTGCTCACCATTTCGAGATGGACTGTGTGACATAAAGGCAGGGTTTCCGTTGATCGGTTTAGCATTTAGCCCTCACTCACTCCCGATTGAAGAACAGGCGCCACGCATCCGCGTCATGAGGACGACTCGGTTGGTAAGGCAATGGGTACACCATAATCAAGGTTATGCAAAACGTTTCGTGGCAATCCATTAGCCAAAACTCCGGTTTTAATGAGGCAACAGGTTATGGTTGGGAGTCATTTTATCCATTCCACTTCCGAAACGGATTTTTAACAATGTAGGTAGTATGGAGCTTTAAAAGTATTACCATGTAAAAAGAATGCAATTTTCAAACAAAATTTTTCCTGAAAGCGGTTTTGAAGTGCTAGCCGTGATTCAGTCGGTAACTGATTTTCATTGGCAGAGAGTAGGCAGACCACGAGATTAGGTTTACCGCCTTTCAGGTCAAAGAGAGTTTCACATAGAATTGACTAACACTAGGAGGAGGCCTGATCACAGAGAAGTAGCATAAAGAGACAGGAGAAGATTCCAGTAGTTCATCGAAGACCACGACGCCCCCATGCTTTGCTAGTTGGCAAACTGTGGCAATAAGCACCTTTAAAAACATACCTTCTCATCAAAGTGATTCAATCTGCCAGTCCGAGAGGATGAATGCATACCGTAACTGGACTAGAAAACTCCAATTCTGTGAGAAAGAGGGATGAAGTGAAGGCGCAACAGTCATACACATCTTGGATTGTCAGGTTTTGTTCATTGAAAGGTGAAATTCTGGAGCATTATTGCCTCATTTTCAAAAACTCAGATCACTTTAAGATTTTGGGACAAAAATGAGACAGATGACTATCAGGTGCTAACCACACAATAGCTTTCTGCAAATTGTAGTGACTTTGAGAACGCCTACGGTTGCCCAAAGCAAAGTCCTGTGTCGGTCGGTCAATACGACACCATTTACTGTGCCCTGAATCACCCTCCTTTTGCTTTCAACCCGCATAGCAAAACAGTGGCCTTCTACCACAAAACGTACACCCAAGACGATTTGCGCGTTTTAAGGCAGGAGGCGAACACCGCCTCTTTAATCGCCTCATCTTCCTCCAGTGGTTAGCCTACGTGCAAAGTGGACGATGGGGAGGCAAAGGAGGGCGATAGCAACAGAACTGCCTAAGTTGGGCCATTCTACAGAGTGCAAGCTTTCCACCTTATTGATGGAGTACTATAGACCACAGTGATTTATTTCACCAAAAAATAAGCAAAAATTGAGTTGGTCACTATTTCATAGGAGTGAGTCCGGTGAGGAAACAGTAACTCATGCCGCACCTTCAACTTCAACATCTTATCTTGACCGTGAAAGTTTGCAGCTTCTCAACAGCGTTATCAAAACACCTTTAAAATGGACATGTTCCAGTATTGTGGTTTTGAAATCGCGAAAAACACACATCACCCCACCGAATAGTCACCTACTAAAGATGGGTCAAGTATGCTTCAAGTGTACAAAAATAGGCTTCCACTTGAGGGAGAAATGGAATGACAAGCAAATTGTCATCGCTTTTCCCTCCTTTGAGCGGGATTCCCACCCCCACCCGGAAACGGTTGAGCTGCAATTATCCCACCCTGGCAAAAAGGGATGTAAGTAGAGGGAGCAATGTCATCGAGAGGCTTTAATCCTATGCCCTGCTTTGAAAAATTAGGAGCTAAAAAGAGCTACTCTTCCTCCTAGACAATCAAGAAGTCGCTAACTTAATATCGTAATTCAATTTCCAAAGATAACATTATGAATTTCTACTGAGGCCTGGAGGCCTCAAGGTAGAGTTTACATTACCCCTGTTCCCTCCTCCTACCTCTCGCTGCCAGCAAGGAAGCAATAGCAAAGGCAACACCCAGCTCGACATCCCATGTTTTTATCCAATCTGGCCTACCCAAACAAACGCCAGTTGAAATTTCTTTTCATTTCTTCTTAAAAGCAATAAATTCACAGCATTAATGGTGAAGGTTAGTAAAGGTCAATACAATTGGTAGGAGCGTCCCTTGAGAAATGGATCATTTTCGCCCTTCAGTCAAAAAGTAAGAAAAAGTGTAGATCCATTCGTAAGGTGGTTAAAACTACTCAGGTAAAACAAGCGCCAATCCTAAAATATTTACTGCCTTTGGGTAGACATGAAGTCATTTCAAAAGTGGGCAAAAAACAGTTCACCCATCTTACTTCAACCATCGCTACAACGTAAAATTGGCGAAGAAAAGACACAGCGGCAGCTTTGTCAGGTTTGCAACAGCGCGTTTGCAATCGAAAGCTATCTCCAAAGACAAATGAAACCTTATCCAGTCCCTAA